TTATACTTGATTAAATAAAAAAACCTACTACCGAGCTAATATATTATATCATAATCTAAAAGAAAATAGTAAAAAAAAATAAAAATCTGGATTACTTTGCGAACAATTCAACAAAAGCTAATTCAGTTAACTCTACAGGCTTGGTTATGGACTTTAAACTTTTGTTGGATTTTTATTATGAAATAGAAATTCTCATTCTTTTTTGAATACCTGCTAACACGGTCCGCGAATGTCTGATAAAGTAATTAAAACTTCCTAACATGCGAGCTGGACAACAACGAGGGTTGGTCGTGTCCGCGGATAAATGAATGTAAAAGACACAACGTATAAAACTACGTGTTGTTACCGCAACTGAACGTTGTTTGTCGGTTTTGGTCCCAGGTCGTATTATTAATTTTAAAAAAGGCCGTCACCGCGACCGCAGACAAAAGCAAAAGTAAACAATTTCCAAGCTCGTGAACATGCAGGAAAAACAAACTATCCGAAACAAAAGTTTATTGGAGGTTTGTTGGTTAATTTTAATTTAGATATTATTTCTTCATGGTTAAACCAAAATATTATTTATTTGTTGGATTCTTATATTATTGCTCCGATTCCATTAATTTCATTTAATTTTTTATTATATAAAAGGATCCAAGAGTAGCGTGTCTTGCAATACATTTCTGAACATTGTGCAGAAGAAAATATGTTGTTAGTTTTAGATCAGTTCGCAGTTCCAAATAATTTCGAAATTGGTGTGAATAAGCTTTTTCACACATGGGATAACATTGGGGAGCCTAATTTTTAAATCCCATTTATATAAATTGTTAACTTGTACAGTGCAGCGGAAGCACCATTTCCTATTATAACCAGATCTGTACGAGCATGTATTAAAATTTCATCTAACACATGGTGATTCTCCATCTTGTTGCAAATATTTTATAAAAAAAAATGAAGAAAATGATCGTTGTATAACTGCGATATAGCCAATATCAATGTCAATCGCATTTTGATCAAATATTTGGATAAGCGAAAGGTCTGTACTCGCTTTCTACTGTACACTTAACCCGGTAAAGTTTACCGGGTTATCAAGAAGACGCCAGACCACTCTAAGGAAATATTTTTGGCCAAAAAGCGGTCGTAGTACTCAACCACTCTCTGTACTCGCCAAATTTAGCTCCCTGTGACTTCTGGCTATTCCCCAATTTGAAATTGGTGATATAAGAAAAAAATTGACATCTAAATTTCACTACGATGGTTTTAAGACGATTTCAAAAGATTACTATTACAAGTGTTTTTAATTAGAAAGAATGGATGAGTGAGTATGAGTATGAGTATAAGAAACGTATAACCGGCCCCATTGCCTCATCGCTCCCGGGTCCTGCATAGGCCTCTGTTTCTTTCGCCACCAGCAACGGCACGGCTTCACCCGTGTTTGCTGGGTGCGAATGTCCATTGCGTCCCGTACTGTCCCCTAATTAGGGCTCGAGAGCAAAATGCCAATAGTTTTAGTAGCCATTACCGGGTTCGCTTAGCCGATGCTATACGCCCAGTAGGGTTATGAAGGAGGTAGGACGGGAGGGATAGATATTTTGGTGCCGAAAACCATCAATAGATAGTTCAGTAGTTGGATATGTAACTTGTAGCTTTTGGTGTTTTTTTAAAATTATTTATTGCCTGTTGGATACGAATAAATAAATAAATAAATAAATAAATAAATAAATAAATAAATATAAATAAAATTTCTAACAATCTTTTAGTTATTGTGTTGCCCAAGCACGTTTTGTGGTAGAATTGTTATGTCTTTTTTTCTTAATTTCCAAAATTAAGTATTGCAGTTAAACAAATGACAAGCGCATTTATTCTGTTATAGTCTAATGTGTTTACAAATCCAATAGAGTTTGATAAGTATGCTGTTTTTACTATGTTTGGGTTTTCATTATTTATTGAGTGTTTATGTTTTAAGTGTCAAATGTTTATTATTGGTCTCGTTTGGGTAAAAATTACCATTGTTTTGTTGGGGCCATTCTTTATTTACTGGGCTTCATTCCTTACGCATTTGTTGTTGACAGATTTATTGTCCTACTTAGATTTGGTGAATCACCGTGATAGGTTCGAATGGGAAGTTTTGTTTTTTTTGTTGTTTGTCTTTTTTCTTTATTATTTTATGGTGTTTGGTTAGTATTGTCTTTCTAATGTTTCTATTGTTACTAATGTTTATTGTTTTTTTTTCTAGAGTTTAAGCAGTGTCGTGTTTAATTTTGCAAATTATGTGTTAGGTCATGCATATGCTTGAGGATACTTATCAATTTTTGCGAATGGCCTCTTTCCCTCTTGTTTGAACACTTTTGTTTGTCTAGTGAAAAGCGTTTAATGACGTCCACCCAGAAGCTGAAACTTGTCACTTAACTCTTTCTTATCACTTAACTCCCTAAATTCCCTAAAAACGTGACGTCCTCTACTAATAATTTATTTAAAATTCAGTACGCAAGAATACAAGTGGTACATATCATCCAAGAAGTGAAAGTTAGCCCTAGTCCTTAACGTTTTATACGAAAAATTCTTATTGTTTATTTAAACACGAGACGTTTTACTCTTCCACTTGTTTCCAGTATATTATTTTTTTTCATTACTGCGATCAAATTTTTTTGGAAAAATTTAACGAATATCAATCATCGTATTCTTTCGATTTTTATTATTTTTCCTAAACCATAATGCCCAATTCGCCTAAGGCATCTTATAATAAACAATACATGTATATATGTGCACAGGTGTTTAATATTCGTTTTGAATTCAAGAGATAATTTTTCGAAAATATAGTTCGACTTAAGTCATCATAACGCGATCTCTTTTAAAGAATACGAAAGCAAAAAAGCCTATCAGAAACAGTAAACCACACACAGTTTAGTTAAGTTTGTTAGGAATTTTAAGTGTATACAGTGCGAAATAAGAGCCTAGGGCTACTAATTGTGCAGGTAATACAAAGCGCTAATACAGCAGTGCAGTTCAATACAACCTCCTAACAAGTGAAGAAGGTACGAAATCAGTTACACTATCTGTGAAGGTGAATTTAATGTACCAGTCTATCGAAGAGAGGGTCAAGTGGATCGCAGCAATAAAAGATAAGTTAAATAGATTAAATCTGCATGATTAAACTTGCATTATCTACCAAGAAAGTAATCTTACATTTTCTACCAACCCTCTCGAAGAGGTTAAGCGTCTTGAACCCACCTAAACCAGGAAAACAAAACTGCCAAGCAAGAAAAAGAGAATTCCAGAGGACAGCAAATTTAATTATTCATAATATAAATCGGTACAAAACACTTGTAACCCTGAACCAAAACTAAACAAACAGTCGTGAAACGCATTAGATGATAATAAAAACAAAAGTTTAGTCGCCTAGACAACAATAAACACGCCAACATATCTCTAAACAGGTATTTACTGAAATAAAGCGAAGGTTATGCACAGTGGGACAAACTAATTTGTATACCTACTTCCTTTACTGATTTTCGCATACTTTGGTAATAATCATTAAAAAATCCCTGGTTTAGGGGGATTCCTGATTGTACTTAGTTTTAGGTCAGTTCAATGTCACCCAAAAAACAAAATGTTTTCCCTTTTTGTCCCGCACTCCAGTAAACTAAATCGGGCGTATGGCCCGGCCCGGCGACAAAATTCCATCGACTAAGAGAGATTTACCAGCCGGGGTGAACATTCGGATCCATCAAACATAGGCAATGCTTTGCAGTTGTAGGCAAGCGCGGATCCAGGGGGGTCATGGGGGTCACGACCCCCCAAAAACCGATTTAATAATAAATAAATTACATACAACTTTAATTATATTCCAATAATTAATAATTATATCGTATAAATAGTACTTTATATTTATTTAATTTATTAGTATACTATTTAGGAAATATGGCGCGCCATGCTTTTGGCACCTTTATTTTTCTTTCCCGCGAGCGTAAATAGAGTTAAATTAGATGTCAAGTCAGTTCGGGATTTATAAAACAGGTTACTGTGCTTTTATTTTGGTTATATAAAGTATAATGACATTTTTATATAATCGATATTTGATTGCAAAAGTAGTTGCAGTGGTATAAACCATTAATCGTTTTTTGCAATAGTATTAAGTTTACTTATTCTTTTCATTATTTTCAATAATTTTTTGGTACCGATCTTGAAGCAACTGCTCTATTGCTACAAAGAACCGATATAAATATTAGTTTTCCATTATGGTGAGTATTGTAACTTGTATTTATCATTTTGCATGTAAATGTCCCTGTTTAAAATAATTAAAGATACAAGTACCTAAAGGGTCTAAGTGTCAAAAATTTTAATTTTGATTTTAAAAAATGCTAGTTTTTTATTAAAAAACTTGAAAATCCTAATAAATCGTTTTGTAAACATTAGGATCAAAGAATGAAATAAATTTTATTAATTATGAATTAAATGAAGTAAATAAACAATTTCTAAACAATTAGGTCAAAATTTTCTTATCAATATAAATATAGATACATAGACCCTTTTGTGTTCAATTATTTTTTACAATTCTATAGTAGTTTTTCCATTTTATTAAAATTTAAAGATACCTAGGAACTTAACAGTTAAATAATTTCTTTATTTGGTTTAATCAAGAAGTAAAATAATTTATTAATTAATTATTAATTGAATGTTTTTGATAATTAAAACATTTTTAAAAATAATTTTTAATTCCCAAAAATTGTTTTGTTCTATTTAAAATGTTCATAATTTAATTGCATAATTTTCTTTAGTGCAGGGTGATTTCATAAATATTATTAAATAGAGTGGTGGTACAAAACGCAGTGGGGGAAGTAGAACAATTGATTCCTTTTTTATTAAAAAAACAAGATCAAACTGAAGAACTATATTTAGCTTTATCTTCAGATCTTACTTCCAATGAAAGTTGTGTTGTGATTGCTTCAACATCATCTGCGTCCGATTGTGAGCAAGTAAACCCATAGTCTGAATTTGCATCAGATATTGGGTCGGATAAGATGGATGATGCCACTAAGGTCATGTTGCTTAAGCAACACTGGACACCACCAGCAAATTATAACTTTCCCTTTTGTACTGTAACGAAAAAGGGTAAGTTTACTAAGAAATATGCACGAAGGTCCCATTTAGAAAGGTTTCATTGGTTGGTTTTGTCCCATAAAGAAAAGGGACTGTTTTGTAAATAATGTGCCTTATTTGCTGCAAATTCATTTGGTGGATTTAAAAAAAACACGCTCCTGAAACGCATGGTGGGAACAGCTCTAAAAAGTTTTGATGATTTTCTCGGATAAAAAGGAGTTCTGGTTATACACGAGCAAAATCAGTATCATCAAATGGCCGTCGAAATGGGAAAAAACTTTCTTTTAAATTTGAATCAACCTGGGGGTAAAATTTCTAATATAGTAGACAAACAACGACTTGAAAAACTTAAGGAAAATAAAGCTCGTTTGCGACCTATTATAAGTACTATAATATTGTGTGGTCGTCAAAATATTTATCTACGCGGCCAGAGAGATGATGGAAACCTATACAATCAATCTAAAAGTTTGATAGCCAATTTAGATGTAAATTTTAGGGCTCTGTTAAAATTTCGTATAGAAAGTTGTGATACAGTACTAAGTAAAATTTAGAAACCGCTAAAGCCAACGCAACTTTTATAAGCAAAACGGTACAAAATGAATTAATAGGGGTTTGTAAAAATATTAAAATATTTAAAGAAGCAAAAATATTTTCTATTATATTTGACAAGACAACTGACTTATCTCATAAAGAACAGCTTTAGAGTTCTTTCTAATGAAACAATTAGGAAAGAATTTGTGATGCATATGCAGAAATTCGAGATACGGATATTGGTAACAGCAAAGACTGTCGTTTGACTGAAGTTGCTTTGGCTTACATAGTGGAAGATTTATGCAATAAATTTAATATTGATTTGAGGTGGTGTGTAGGAATAGGTACAGTCAGCTGTTCTGTGATGGCATCTGATACCAAAGGTGCTGTTCATGAACTGTCAAAAAAAGCTACCAATGCCAAACGATGTCCTTGTAGTAACCATATTTTAAATAACTCATTAGCAAAATCTTCAAATGTTTCATTTTCTCGGAATGCTTCGGTAACAATGAAAAAAGTTGTGGCTATTGCCAATGCTTCAGCCAAACGACACAAAGTATTTCTAGAAGAGTTTGGAGGGAGAGACACGATGGCCATTTGCAATTTCAGGGAGATAACCTAATTAAAATATGTAATGCTCTTGAAAAGATATCTTCTTGGGAGGATAGAAAAATGGCTTCCGATGCACTTTGCCTTCTATAGGCTTTAAAAAGCTCCGATTTTCTAATTTCCTTAATATGTTTAAATGACGTTTTGGGTAAGTATATATTAAAATTTTTGTATTTTTCCCTAATTTTTTAAGGGACAACAATATCATTTAGCCGATTTATCCAAATATCCTCAAAGTCCCGATGTTACTTACAGTTTTTACATTTAACTCGTGAAGATGGAATAAACATTTTTATTACTACAAAAATTGTACAAAGATTTCAATTAATGCAGTTCACACATTAATTTAATGAATAAAATCTTTGATATAAGCACTCTTGTACAACAACCCTTTGATTGTTTGTTTAATATTTCTTTTTATTTGTTTCAAAAAAAAGAAAAAATAATTTTATCAGCAAAAACAAGAAATTATTTTCGTAAGTGTTAAACTAACAACCTCATTTTTCTCAGTGTAGCCAGCCCATAATCAACTTATCCAAAATTTGGATAATATATAATATATATTTAATAGAAAAAAGCGTAAGAGTAAATAAATCAATCAAGCATGAACGACACAAAATATGGAATTTTATAAATAAGTGTTGTGTGTGTAATAGGTGAATATATTGTATGTATATGCATTTAAATATAAGCACTAACTAAGAGATCAGCTAATAAATCAAACTTAAAATAAACCAAAAAAGAAACGACACGTAAACATCACAGAAGATAAGAAGAGCGACCCTCAGCCAAGGCCTGACAATAGGGCCGTAGTCCAAATTATTCCGTACACTTCAGGGCCGGCTTTATCTATTTTGTATATTAATATTTATAATAGTATGTTTAAACTAAATAAAAAAAAAATACAAAGATATAAATTAAATGGTAAACGGTATATATAATACACTAATTTAACAATAAAATAAATAAAGAATATAGGGGTTGAATATCCACGAAGGCAGGGGGCACTTACGGCGGGTCGTGGCCACAACGCCACTTTTAGAGCTCCCTGTATGAATTCCAATAAAAAATCCGGAAATCAAGATGAAAAATCATTACAATGTATGCAAGATTAAAAATTGTAGATAAACATAGTTTTTTTATATCTAGTATTGAATTAACGAAAAAATTAATAATGTTTTTAATTATTATTCCTTTATGAGTATAATAAATTATATTAATTGAATTAATTAATACTGTCTTGAGAATAAGGTTACTTGTAGAAAAACATGCAAATTACATAAGATTAACTGCGTTACGCACAACAATAAAATAAATACAATGAAATATTTTTTATCCGCTATTAAATAATTTACACGATATTCTTTATTTTCAATAAGTGCAATTGTGTCTAGAAGAAAATTATGTAAACAATAATTACAAAACAATGTTTCAAAGAGGAAAAGAAACAGTTACCATATTATATTTAAATTTTTCCGTCTCACACGTACTTATGTATTTAGCTGAGTTCTATATTCATTAACATTTTATAGACAGTTACTTTATATTTTTTATGGTAATGAAGTTTATGTGTGTTAACATTCATAAAGCTGTCTCTTGCTGTTTAAAAACATATTTACATCCTTCCTGGTCTTCCCGCTTCCTTCAAAAATGTTCACGCACCAAGTGCCGTTGAACCTTTTTTTATTGCTGAATTAATATTTTACACTTGCTTATATTACATAATCTTTTAATGCAATGCAAAAATTAAAGGATTAACAGTTGTTTTAATCCATAAGGAAGTGTATTTAAACAAACTAATGCTGACGAACTACTATAGTTAATAATTATAATTGGTTATAAAAAATATAGATAAATAGATCAGGGATTTGCAGCTTTATTAAAAAAAAACAAGTATTGAATTTTTGTTTTTTAAGATACTGGATAGTGGACAAAATACTTTATTTCTTTGAATTTTAATAAATGTTCTTTCTTTGAAACATAAAAAACGAATGTTTATATATTATAATGAACATAATACCATTATCTATCATACCTCTCTAAACATTTGAAAAAATTGTCAGTTTCAAAAAATATTTAGGAATTAGGTAGGTACCTATATCGTGTATAAAAATAAATGCCAAAATAAAAGGAAATTATAGTGTAACGTTTTTACTGTTCGTAGTGTGAATAAAAACACGCACTCGTTTATTAACGAACTAAACGATTTATTTTATAACTTAATTACAGTTAAAACACTAATAAACTATATAACTAACTAACTTCTCGAACATTCCAGCGAGCTCCACACCGCTCTCGATTGTTCGAGCGCTGACTCACCGACGGTGAGTCATCATTTCGAGATCCAGAGCGGTACTCGCTACAATAGGTACTTTCATCCACATCGGCCAATCCGACCAATCAGGTCGATTAAATATAACGATAACCACTAATTCTAGTGGGTAAAGTTAACCACTCAAGTTAGTTAATTGGCCTAATTAATATGAACTTCTAGATACTATGATTCACAACAAAAGTCCAACTTTGACATTTGAATAAGAAATAATTAAAGATATGTATCTGCCAGTTGAATGCATATTGCACAATGTACATTGTGCACAATATACATTTTGGGTTAAACTGAAAGATTCATAACCTCAATCATGGAGCTGCGTTCCTTAATCAAATGTAAAAGTAGGCCTATGGATTCGGAGCATGGTAGGTACATGGAGTTGCGAAAAGGCGATGGAAATTGGAAAAAATGATTATGACAGGTCATTTTCCAATAATAAGGTTTTTTAGAAAAAAATAGCTATTTACATACCATGGGAGGAAAATAGTGCTTTTCCTCCCGCGAATAGTTTGATGCCCGACGCGAAGCGAAGGGCATTAAATATTCAAGGGAGGAAACGCATTTTCCTCCTGAGGTATGTATATAGTTTTTTCTATTACCTTTTAACGGTTTTAAGATATTTTAAGCGTTCAGGTTCCTTTTACTAACCCGGTATGGTGCTATAAAATTATGACAAAATATTAAGTACCTAGTTGTTGCTTGCCGACGTTATGTTGACAACGCTTTGTTGCTATTGTATTTTTGGAAATACAAACAACAGTTTTTATAAGCTGTCAAAATGTTTATCATAAATTTGAAATTCTTCCTACGTTTTGAAAATGAGTTCTAGCGAAGAAGACCTGCCGCAAGATCTTGCTAAAAAGGCAAGAATATTTCCTTAAAAATCGAAAGAGCGATATGAAAATACAAAATCAAATAGGGATAGACAAGGTACAAAAACTCTTGCTTATGTAAAATTGTTAAAAAAAGAGAGGGAGGAAAAGAGGCATTTTCCTCCCTCGCTCGGGGGTGGAAAATTAAGTTTTCTAGTAGGGTAGAAGAAAATAGCTATTTACATACCATGGGAGGAAAATAGTGCTTTTCCTTCCTCGAATAGTTTGATGCCCGACGCGAAGCGAAGGGAATTAAATATTCAAGGGAGGAAACGCATTTTCCTCCTGAGGTATGTATATAGTTTTTTCTATTACCTTTTAACGGTTTTAAGACATTTTAAGCGTTTCGGTTCCTTTTACTAACCTGGTATGGGGCTATAAAATTATGACAAAATATTAAGTAAACTGCTCGTCATAAAAATCGACGCACCTAGTTTTTGGAAAATATTTGAAAGCTCGTTATTGGAAAATTACTGAATCGATTTTAAAAATCTTTGGAAATTCTGAATAGCTGATTCTTTGACTCTTATGTCTAATTTTGGGAATACGATATTTTGCACATAGCATTATACTACAGGGTGTTAAACGAAGAGATGTATTTTTTCCGAAATTTCAAGTTATTCCCATTCATGAGGCAGTTGAGTTTGATAGTCGTAATACCCCTCTTTAATATAAGTAAGGTAATCCCTCGGAAAGTTTTCGAGATTTTGTGAATATCGAGGCTTACTACGATTATATGCCAATTTTTCGAAAATTGTCGTTATTTCCCAGTTTAGTCCAAAAAATGAGCAATAGTGGATTCTTTGACTTCCGTCTAATCTTGAGAATAAGATTTTGTGCACATAGCATTATACTACAGGGTGTTAAAAAAAGGGGATGTTTTTTCCAAAATTCCAAATCCCCATTCACAGGGCAGTTGATCTTGATACTCCTAATACTCCTCCCTAATAACATTTAGGTAATCCCTCGGGACATTTTTGAGATTTTGTGGATATCTTGGCTAACTACGATTATACGGCAATTTTTCGAAAATTCACGTTATTCTCCATTTTAGTCCAAAAAATGACCAATAGTTGATTTTTTTACTCTTATGTCTAATTTTGGGAATACGATATTATCCACATAGCATGATACTACAGGGTGTTACAAAAAGAGATGTTTTTTTTTTCCAAAATTTCAAATCCCCATTCTTAGGGCAGTTGAGCTTAATAGTCGTAATACCCCTCCCTAATAACAGTTAGGTAATCTCTCGAGAGGTTTTCGAGATTTTGTGGATATCTTGGCTAACTACGATTATATGCCAATTTTTCGAAAATCGTCGTTATTCCCCAGTTGTCCAAAAAATGAGCAATAGTGGATTTTTTGACTTACGTCTTATTTTTGGAATACATAGCATTATACTACAGGGTGTTAAATAAAGAGATGTTTTTTTCCAAAATTCCAAATCACCAATAACAGGGCAGTTAATAACAGGTAATCCCTTTTCAAGATTTTGTGGATAACTACGATTATATGGTAATTTTTCGAAAATTCACGTTATTCTTCACTTAAGTCCCAAAAATGAGCAAACTACGGAAGGTATCAACACAGCGGTTTAAGGTAGGTCACGTGCTTCCAGTTTATGTGCGTTGCGTGATTTATTTAAAGTGATATGTTTCACACAAAATCATTTTTTTTTCGGTGAAACTCAAAATGAAAACGCAAACCAAACAAAATTATTCTCGTAAACTTATGCAATTTTCTACAAACGCTTGACTATGAAAGTTTAAAAAATATGGCGCATATCTGGTTTTGAGTTTCCTCCCTTCA